TGGAGTAAAAGTACAGATACTGCACTAAAAATTTACTCAAGGAAAAGTATAAGTACACATTTTTAAAACTACTAACTAAATTACAATTTCTGAGAAAAACTACTCAATTACAGTCATTTGAGTGTTTGTAATTAGTTACTTTACACCACTGCTGATAATGTGATTGGATCTGGACATCCCTACCAGTAGGGTACAAAAGTTTGCTGTTTGAAAAGAAACGGCCTCAGTGACAGCTTTAGTACCTTTATTTCTTAGTGTATATGGCACTTTTAAAGACATGTCTAATGATGGATGAGTTTAATTAAAGAGTCTGAGGCCCCTGATCTGGACGTCTTGCCTCCCTCTGAGACTGTGGCAAGCCCCTTACAAAAATTGAATATGACCTTCAGGAGTTCAGGCCATTGTGAACATCATGGCAACACGCTGACATGCACACTGTTAACACGGATGATGAGTCTGTGTTGGATGCTGACAACTGATGTCACGTCACCCAAGGGCAGCCGTGTCTGCTTTTGGATGAACACTTCATTTCATTGGTTGTGGGCCATTCAAGACAAGCTGATGCCAGTGAGCTGCGTGACATCAAGTGAACCTAAACCTAAATAAACTCAAACACGTCCTTGACTGCTATTGTGTATGTAAAGTTGAAGTCAGAATTATTCATTATTTCTGAACACGTTCGCTTTAATAAGTAAATTCTAATTTCTGATTTCATGATGACAGTATAATATTTCACTAGATATTCTTCAAGATACGAGTATTCAGCCTAAAGTGACATTTAAAGGCTTGATTGGGTTAGTTAAAGGGCACCTAGGTTACCCCTTTTTTCAGATTTAATATAAGTCTTTTGCGTCTCTAGAATGTGTATATAAAGTTTCAGATCAAAATACCCATCAGATTTTTCATTATACCTTTTACAAGATGCTGTTTTATACTGATTTCCAGCAGGGGGTGGTTTTGTCGTACTGCGCCTTTAAGCCGAGTTCTGCCCGCCTACTGTTTCTACATGCCTTCCCACGTGCTTTAATCTCCTCCCTCAGCTGCGTCAGACAACAGACAGACTTAAAGGAAGGAGGTCTCACGTAGCGTTTGTGAGATACTACAGTAAGAACTAACCTTTACTAATCAGTATTGTGAAGTTGCATTGATGAGTCACACACAATATTGTTACAAAGTTAACGCACGCACGCGCACACACACACACACACACACACACACACACACACACACACACACACACACACACACACACACACACACACACACAGGCAGGCAGACAGACAGACAGAGCGCGCTTAGCCTAGTTAAGGCTGACCTCAAGTGTGGATATCTGTTATGCTAATGTACAAAATAAACCTGATTTAACTTCCACAAACCGGGATTGAAGCGTCTTCTTTTATAATTGTTCTGACACGCGGCTGTGCTGATGAAGTAAAGCTGAAGTAAAATGCTGTAATTAATTACACACATACTCTGTTTTAAAACACTTTAAACATGTGAAACTTACTCTTAATCACATTTGATGATGATTGCTGATCCTAGCGAACAGAACAGACCTTTTATTCCCGGTTGCTTTGCGTATGTCTGCCTGGTCTTGTTGACATATACACGCGACAACCGGAACATGTTAATGCGCGCAGCTGTCAATCAATTCGGTGGGCGGGGGAATCGCACACCTACGTAATGGTGCGATCGATTTGAAAACAGCTCCAATTGGCCGACCCTTTTTTTTGTAGTTAAATTAAAAAAAAGGACTGGGTGTGTTCATATCACCCCAGTATGACGGTCTATACACTATACCAACACACAGATCTGTCCAAACAGCTTGAAAAGTAGATTTTTTACCATAGGTGCCCTTTAAGCTAATTACGCAAATCTGAACAAACAAAAAAACAACAACAACAACAACCCCAATAATAATAATAATCATAATAAAGAAAATCTGGGTGGAAAGTAGTCGTGTACTTATACGTAGATAAAAGCAGCAGATGATGCACAGTTTATTCCCTTTCTCAAATCATCTCCCCTGCCAGCCATCACAACACCTGTAAATGAGTCTCTGCCTGAGTTTCTATCCCACTATGCCTTGCTTGATTCCTCATACATTCTCTCATTTCTCAATCTAACAGAAGTCCTCCATTTCATGCGTCTCTCAGCCTCATCTTGAATTGGCTGTACTTTATGTGTGATCGTGTTTTGGCTCCGACAGCTCATGTACACACACACACACAGATCTACTGCTGCCCTAAAACACATGCATACACACACACTAGCAGAAGCACACGCGGCTCTGGCAGAGGGAGGCACATCCATGTGGTCCCACAATCTGCTGCCTCCGGTTCACAACGGGGCAGGGAGACACCAGCTAAACCAGCACCTTCCATACTGGACATCTCACTCACTTGAGCGTTAGCCTCTGATGCTCCTCCATGATTTCCTTATGGGTGTGTTGCACCTTAAGATTTCTATAGTTTATCTAATAAATAAGTTGCATCAAAGTTTTTAAAATATGGAGAATAACATTGTCATTCTGAAGCTTGTTTTAGAGGGGCAGTTGACCCAAAAATGACAAAATCCACCATTTATTCATTCCTGTTTGAGCTCCTTCCTCTGATGAACACATAAAACAATATGCTGAAGAATGCTGGAGGAAAACAGCTATTGGCTTCAGTGTTTATTATTCCCACTCTGGATGTCAATGGCTGCTTTTCTCCAACATTCTTCAGTATATATTGTTTTGTGTTCAACAGAAGAAAGATAGTTTTGAACTGCTTGAGTGGGAGTAAATATTGAGGAAATATTCTTTTTTGGGGTGAACTACCCCTTTAATTAACATTGATTGAGGAATTAACTTTAATAATTTTGCTCATTTGATTCACAGTTAATAAACAATAACTCTGTTTTAAATCTCAGTTTGGGATTTAGTTTTAATTTTATAGGCTCATATTGAAATCTCTGACTGATTTATGAAAGAGTTTTGTGCTTTAACAAAACACAATGCTTTATAAACTGAACAAATCTGAACCATTAGACAAAAAAGCCCTCTTGACGTAATTAAATCCTTTAACCACCTTCTCAACCAAACGGTTGACCATGTTCGACTGTTTCAAATAATGACTGTCATCTAGAGAATGACTGTTTTAAAAAATGGTTCTCACACACAGCATTGCTGGTTTACAAAAAAATAAAAAATAAAAATTCAAAGAAAATATCCTGTTGCACTACTACATGTTAAAAAACATCAACAATAAAGCATGTTAAATCAGAAGCTGAAATATTTTATGGCATACTTTAAAAAATAAAGATGATTTAGTATACAAAAATTGTTTTTTTTTAAATATGTTTTTAAGTAAATTGGGCTTACACTTCATATATTCTGATTTTTCCTAGTATATGTATTAAGTCCGGTACTTTTACCATAAACTGACATATCAACCATTTGGTAGAGGCTAATATTTTAGAAATTATGGGATGTGTTGAAGAAAAATGCATTGAGTGTGTTAGTGACATTAGGAGTTAAGAAATGCAATGCAAAAATGTTTTTTCTTGGTGAGGTAATTAAAGTGCTGAGAGAAACAAGAGAGATCTTGCTGTTGTCTACAACTTTATTTGTCATTAGTCTGTGCATATAGTTTAAGTAATATTAAAATGTCACTCTTCAAAACATCTGTGTGAATTTTGTTTGTTTTTTTGTTTAATGCTGAAATCTAAATGATTTTTTTAAAACAGAATTTAAAAAAAAATATTAATAATATTAGTAATATTATTGCCATGACAACAATTTACTATGAAATTTAGATTATTAAAATATGACCAGACCTTTCCTAAAAACTCTAATTTAAATAAATAAATAAATAAATAAATAAATAAATAAATAAATAATGTATTTTATTAAAATATATATTATTAAAGAAAATGTTTTTTTATTTTGCTATAATAAAAAATAAACACTTTAAGGAATATGATGATTAATTATATTTTATTGCTGCTTTTATTTAAAGTACATTTAATACTTTCCTATTATTTTTGATCATCATTATTTATTACTATTACTATTTAAAGTACATCTAAGCCACAATAAAGATTTTTCCCACATTATTGTAATGAGAATTATGATAGACGTTTGTTATTATTATATTTATTTATTTATTTATTTATTTATATTTTGAGGGTTTTTCACGGTAAACACACTCAAAATGTTTTTTTTTTTACTTGTTCAAACTACTTTGAGCTGTAGCAACACAATTCTTGAAATTTCATTGGGACAACTTATTTTTTATGTTCAATCCACATAAATTTCTTAAAAGTGTTAAGTTAACTTAATCGATTTCTGTTGGGACAACATGAATGAAGTGTGTGGAACCCTGCATTTCTTTCCAGTGTAGATATAAGAATATAATTGTAAATATAATAAACATATATGTTCGTTTTAAACATATAATAAACAAATGCAAATAAAAAGTACATTGAAATAAAAATACTAAAATATGAAAAAAGAAACATAACATTACTGGCATAAAATTTCACATATATTTGTCCCTTTATTTTTAGCATAAATTATGACCCAAACCTGTTCTTGGCTAAATTATTTATAACAGCCTCAAATGTGTTACAAATTCAGTAACGATATAGATGATTTGTTTAGTGACCATTTTTCAGATGACTTTTTATTATTTTTGACCTAACAATCTTATTTTTGGTATTAATTTGTCACTACATGTATATTAGAATTCATCACATTTACATCCCAGTGTTAAGATTAAAAGTAAAAAATAAATAAAGAAAAACAAACGAGTAAAATACACTGTTTTAATCATTTTTACAACCATAAAACTAAAAAAAGGCAACAATAATCTGATAACAAGCATTTTAAAACAATATATCCATAAACAAACATAACCTTTTTTGAGACACACACACACACACACACACACACACACACGCGATGCTGAAGTTCTCACTCTCCTCACGCTCTCATAGAAATGAAGTGTTTTACTCACGGTTATAGTGGGAATAGCAGCTATCAGCGAGTACACGAGCACCGGCGGCACGTTGCTGGTCTCATCCGGTCCCGGGTACGGTTTGGAGAACGCCTTGTCGAAGCAGAAGAAGCCCTGGATGTGCACGGGGAAGGTGTCCGTGTATTCAAAGTAGTACGCCATGAGCACGGTGCCTGCCATGATCACCAGCTGAAAATAAAACATGATCCACGCTTTATTACTAGTGCAGAAGACGCTCCGCCACAGCGCGCGTGCGACCGCATAAACCACACGGGCACACACAATCACACACATACACACAGGCGTCGTGATCCTGACAGTGTTACATGCTGTTCCTCAGAGCGCGCGCGAACACGGCGGAAAAACGGGGAAAAGATGTGGAGAAAAACAGCGTGAACTGGAATCCGAGGAGACACAAATTGGCTCGGTGTGTGAGTGTGTTCGTGCGCGCGTTAGTGACATTTTGGATGTGTGTGAAACGCAAGGAGGGTGTGAACGCGCTCGTTAGCGACTCTCACAACGAGCTCGCCTTCATTCAAGCCTCATTATCCTCCTCATTCATCCTTGAAAATTACAAAGATCACCTCTGAAACTAACAAACAGCCAACGACTTCTGATGTGCTCTCTGGTAAACCCAAAATGATGGACAGTATAGTGTAGAAACAAGGTGAATTTGGAAATGTAGTTCAAAGAAACATGAAAAACTGAAATGATAAAGGCTACCCTTGTGCTTACTGTACTGCAAAACATACTTTAATATTTAATGTAATTTATTTGAATACTTTTATTGGCAACTCTGAAGAAAAAAATATTTTATATTGTTCTTATTATTTGTATTATATTGCTATTTAGATTACTGCGCTTTTTGGGTGGCGGTGTTAATCACATTAATTTGTGGTTATATATCAATATGGCCATTACCACCATATATATATAAACTAACAGACACAAAAGTGTCTTACTGTTGAGTAGACTACTATTGGCTTGTTTCCACTGAGTGATATGGTTTGGTATTGTATGGTATTCGGTATGGGTCCCCTTTATCAGACTTTCCAATGGTACCCTTTTGGTGGGCGTGGTGTACAACAGAAAGTTTCAGTCGACTTCATTCTCGTGCAAGGAAATGTCTACATTAAAGCTGTAGGGGTAGTTCACATCATATGAGAAGCACTTCTCACAAAACAGATGCTTTATACACATAAATACTTGTGTATCAATGTTCATTACTAACTTTTCTATGAACATGATTTGATTATAACTGCAGATCAATGATAGGGCAAAATAGCCTACTGTAACGTCTGTGATTATGTAAAATAAACAAATAAATGCTGCATATATGAGCACATACAGCTTCATTACAGTCTCTGATATGTCATCACTTACAGATGAACTACACACGGCATACATTTAGTTCTTATTTGGGTTCAAAACAACACACAATATAGTCCACAGTCAGTGCAAACGTCTCATCTGCCTCATTAATCTTCACCAGCACATGTAACCTCTTGTTTGAAAGCAAATCCTTCATTCCCAGTTCATAAAAGTCAGAAAGGTGATGTTCATAGTTAAACATGGCAGTTTGTTCATGTCTTAGGTTGCTGAAAGAATCATTTGCTCCTTTGTTTTTCGCACTTCAATATGGCATTTGTCCATTTCTGAAAGGATCAGATGTCAGAAGCACTTCAATAATCATGCGCACGCTATTATGATCAGCTCAAGGAGTTTGTTATTTCAAATTTAGACACGCGGCAAGCACACGCAAGCTCAACTTTAAAATTGAAACTGCTCATGCTTTTATACAGCCTCGTAAACAACAACTGGACACGGCAGATTTTGTTCTTTGTGGCTGTGAATCTAGACGATGATAAGGTTTGTTTGAGCTCAGGTGTACCATGACTTGTTACTATCTCTCTCTCTCTCTCTCTCTCTCTCTCTCTCTCTCTCTCTCTCTCTCTCTCTCTATATATATATATATATATATATATATATATATATATAT